GTGTGTGTGTGTGTGTGTGTGTGTGTGTGTGTGTGTGTGTGTGTGTGAGTGTGCGTGTGTGAGTGTGTGTGTGCATGAGTGTGTGTGAGTGTGTGTGAGTGTGTGTGTGAGTGCGTGTTGGTGTGTGTGTGTGCGTGAGTGTGTGTGAGTGTGTGTGTGTGTGTGCATGAGTGTGTGTGAGTGTGTATGTGAGTGTGTGCGTGCGTGTGTGTGTTGGTGTGTGTGTGTGTGTGTGTGCGTGAGTGTGTGTGAGTGTGTGTGTATGTGTGTGTCTGTATGTGAGTGTGTGTGAATGTGTGTGTTACCTTGCAGCAGAGAGCTTCCAGGTGCGATGCTCTCAGGTACGTTGTCTCTGGTGTAGATGGAGTGGAGGAACTCTGGCGTGCAGTCGTTTTCATCCGTCACGTGAACGACGACCTGCAGGATTCATCTCTGTTACTGTTTGTGTATCAGACTCGTATTTATTGATCGTTTGATTTCATCCTGTCGATAACAAGTCTTCATCACACAGCAGAGCTTCGGCTTCTCTCAGCAGATCAACCTGATAAAATAATGTCGTAATATCTTCTCACTGCTCGTTGCTCCTCACAGGTTTTGCTTCTGTATTCGTTGTTTTTCTTAAATGAAATAACTCGTGCAAACACGATGAAGACGAGCGTCTCCTGCTCCAGGAGAGAAACCCATTTCCTCGGTATTTCTTCCTCTCCTTTACCCTCCCACTATCCCGACCCACTGGAGCTCAAACTAAAAAAAAAGCCGGATTTAACCGACCCGACCGCCTGAGCTCAGATTTCCCACGCAGCCCCGAACCTTCGACGCACCACCTGTTTGGTAAAAAAAGGACCAGCAGGCTGAAGAGATGGAGACACTCGGCTGCTTCTGCAAAACACGGACTGAATATTTAGAGGATTCTAGTGGAGACGGCAGGAAGACGGTTTGTTGTTGTCACTTTAGACCCTAAATATTAATTTATTTATTCAATTTTAAAGAAGCAGCAAACAAAACTACTTTATTTTTAAATCAATCTCTGTTTTGTTTCAGCTGCTTCTTTTAAAATCGTTTATGGAACATTACTTTGAATAATTTACTATATATTTTTTCATGTAAAACTGACTTTAAGTCTGGATTTGCTGGATCCTGTGTTCTGTTTTTATTTAGATTAATTCTCTAGTTTTATTGAGCGCAGTGCAAATGACCGACAGAGAGAACGAAGCACGTTTGAAATGTCTGTAAAAGCTTCAGGCAACACAAACTGCAGATGATACAGTGAGATGTAACGAGGAGGATGCTTTCTACACACCTGGCTAACACACACACACACACACACACACACACACACACACACACACACACACACACACACACACTAAAAACGCACACGCGGGGCCTTTAGAGTGAATTAACCAGCCAAGCTTATAGAGCAGCAGAGGCCTTTGGGAGACGCTGGTAGTTTAGCAGCTATTTTCTGTCTGTTCCAACCATCTGGACGCTGAGAGCAGGTCATAATGTGTGTGTGTGAGTGTTAATGTGAACAGATGTAGCGATCAGCTGTGTAAAGTCTTTGGTGTTTGCTGTGAGGATGGAAGTTAAGACTTAGCAGCCAGGTTTCTGCACTTAGCTTTATGTTTAGCGTGTGTATGTGTGTGTGTGTGTGTGTGTGTGTGTGTGTTGCACCCATAATGCTAGAAACTCTCTAACACACTCAAAAGAGCTCAAACTGCTGATCACAGACTGATCACATGTGAGCATTGAGGGTTTGAACGCAGCTTTGATCTGCTGAGTTTCATCATGAGAGCTTCACAGGACGCCGGTTGAAATGAGGCAAACGCCGCCGCGTGTGTGTTTGCGTGTGTTTGCGTGTGTGTGTTTGCGTGTGTGTGTTTGCGTGTGTTTGCGTGTCACGCATGCATAATGAACACACAGAATAAACAGTGAAACGAAACAGTTGCATCACAGCGTCCAGCATTCAGCGCCAGCACTTTCTTTCATTCGAAAATTTAATGAGTATTTTTTTCTTGTTGGAATGCCAGCGTGAGGAGTCGTGCGCCTGTTAATGTGGATTTATTCTGTTTATCATTGGATGGGAGGTCGTGGTTCCACTTCCACAAAACTGTGCTCACCTTTCTGACCCCGGTGGTTTGTGGGTGGAGCGTAGATGGAGGACGAATAATTCTCTAAACACGCTAGTTTAACACTGGCTAGCGTGTTTTGTTGGCTTGTTTGTTATAAAATGGCTGAAGAAAATACGAGTGTCTCTCAATATGTACAGTTACTCAGTCTCTGCGATTGCAAGTGTTTACTTGAGATATTTAACATTAACCAATGGGACTATACTAGCCGACCCCTACGCCGTCGGCAGACTACAGATGGAAGCTCCGGAGAGGACGGTTGGCTAGTTAGCGAGCTAGCTTGTCCATCTCCAGAGCTGGATAGTTAGCTATAGCTAGTTTTGGACCGTGGATCGGGCTCATTTTCTGTAACCAGTGTAACGTTAGCATGAAAGCAAGGTAGCTGGATAACTAGCCAAACGCTAAATGAGTAAAATGCTTCATCCGCACACGCTTGTCACAGCATAGGAAAGCACAATGCTATCGTCAGATAAGTTATATTTGGATAATTTTCTGTAACCAGTGTTGCAGGAAAGCATGGCGGAATTGGCATGCTAGCTAAGCAGCCAGCTTTTCCGCTAGTTAGCTTGAGGCTACAGTGGTTACAGAAAATAAGCCCAACAGTGGGCCATCTCGTCATCTCTCTATTAGCAACATCTCTCATATAGTTTAGCCTATTATCAACATATCTAGTTTAGCCTATTAGCAACAATTCTCATATAGTTTAGCCTATTAGCAACATCTCCCATATAGATTAGCCTATTAGCAACATCTCTCATATAGTTTAGCCTATTAGCAACATCTCACTAATAGTTTAGCCTATTAGCAACATCTCTCATATAGTTTAGCCTATTAACAACATTTCTCTAATAGTTTAGCCAATTAGCAACATCTCTCATATAGTTTAGCCTATTAGCAACATTTCTCTAATAGTTTAGCCAATTAGCAACATCTCTCTAATAGTTTAGCCAATTAGCAACATCTCTCATATAGTTTAGCCTATTAGCAACATCTCTCATATAGTTTAGCCTATTAGCAACATCTCTCATATAGTTTAGCCTATTATCAACAATTTTTCCATCTCTCTATCGTTTAGAGATTAAAATAACTTCCCACCAGTCTGCAGTTATAAATTCTTGACAAAGAAGAAATTCTGCTTCCTCAGCTAAACCTGTCTACACAGGTACATATATGTGTGTGACTGTACCTCCGCCACGCTGCTGAGGCCGGTGTCAGGTTCGGAGGCTCGGACCTGCAGCATGTGGAGGTTGTGTCTGCTCTCGTAGTCCACCGTCCTGGTGAGGCTGAGCGCTCCGCTCTCCTGGTTGATGCTGAACAGGTTCCCAGGATTCACCAGCAGCATGTAGGACAAGCTCTTCTTCTGGAAGGAGACGGCCTGGACCACTGAGACGCTGCAGGGACAACACGGGAAACAGCTGTTAGCCTTGACCATCAGTTATCAAGCTTTAAACGTTGAACTGAAACCGTTACCAGCATCAAAATGTCTGGTTGTAACATGTTACGTTCGATATTCCAACAACAAAGTCAAGTTGAACAGAATTTCAGTGTGTGTCAGTTTAAAGGGTGACCGTGTTAGCTGGTGACTTCTGGCAGAATGTATGGCTGCGAGCGATTTTAAAAGTGACTGAAGCCAAACCTCTGAGTCTGTCCTGGTGTCTGAAGTTCTTCACATGAACTCAGATTTAACAGAGTGGATCATCTCATTTTCATTCATTTCCAGAACATAAATGTGAAGACACTACAGGTGAATAGGGTCAAAACATGAACTCATAGATATCACCATGAAACTTCACCACTTCATCACTCACATTAAGAGGAGTATTTATTGTATTACAAGTTTATTTTAAATGTTATGTTTAAATATGCAAATTAGGCATTATGTAATGGTAACTTTTGGCGAATTTAGGAGAAACAAACAAGACAAAATAATAAAATAAATGTTTTCTTTCCACTAGTCTGAATGACGGGTCTAAAGCCTCGTTGGCCACAGAAATGCTGATTTTCTAGTAGACGTAAAATCACATATTTGAAATCAAAATGCCTAAAAAAACCTCTAATGAGGCTCATTTGGACCAGTTAAAGCTCATCATGGACCATCAGGACGGTACCGATGAGTCCACAGAGACTGATCTGACCCCAGGTCAGCAGAGAGCAGCTCCACATTCCTGCTTCCAAACAGACTCATGAAGTGAAGAAGAGCTGTGTGAGCTCTACAAGTCTGCAGCCTCCACGGATCATTGTGCACTCGCAAACCATCACATGACCTGGTTAATCAATTACACTAACTCACACACTCACACTCACACACACACACACGCTGCTCACAGGGTGGCATGGATACTTGGATATTAATACAATGTGCTTTGCGCCAGCAGCCCCTGAGGGATCCACACACACACACACACAGACACACACACACACACACACACACACACACACACTCCCCTTCATGTTTATCCAGACCTCGCTTTTAATAAATATTTGAATTTGCCACACTTTCAGATTCTCCGCCTCAGGCCACACTCATACATCTGGGTCCTCTTCATCCATCCATCCCCGTCCTTCGCCTCATCGCCTCCTCCTCTTGCTCCCTCTCCTCTTCCTCCCTCTCCTCCCTTATTCTTCTTCTTCTTCCCCTCTCCCCCGCCACCTCTCCCTCTTCATCTTTTGTCTCGCTCTACAGGGCTCATCTTTTCATGCATCACATGACATGCAAAGCCAAGGAGCTGGCTGTGGAAGCACACACACGCACACGCGCGCACACGCGCACACACGCACACGCGCACACACGCACACACGCACACACACACACACACACACACACACACACACACACACACACACAC